TACTTTCTCAAGAGGAGGTAAAAACCTTTGTTCCCCCTAAAAGCCCTTCTTATTCACTGTATTTCATGCCTTTGAACCTCCTCAGCAAATGAAGTGCACTTCCTGCTGTGCACAATCGAGCAAGAAACATGTAACAATCAAGAAACACTCAAGCAGGAAATCAATTGGTGGAAGATAGAAAATCATAGATATCCTTTCTTTCTCTTTGCGTTTATTTCTTCGCCTTCTCCTTTTCTCCATACATCTTTCCTCGACATATGTTACCCTACAGCAACAGCAAAGGTCCTGTTATAAGCCAGTGACCTCCTGTTTGAGTCTGAGAAGCCCGAGGCCTTTCCTTCACTCCTTCTCAACCTACATCCTTCCTGACAACACACGAGAGAGTCTAACCGACGCAACCATGCAGGACTCTGTGTGCACGTCCATTCTGTACATAATATTAGCTGTGATCACGCCTGTTTACTGAACTCATGTATGAAACACAGGGTGTTCTCGGGGGGGGGGGGGAGGTGCCGCTGGCAGCACATCGACTGGAGAAAAGCGTGGTTATCGGGCTTGTAGAGAAGCTGCTCTCTGCTGATAATCCCACTGAAATTGCACATGGATTTTCTGTTAAAGTGGAAAATAAATGTACTTGTGTGGAATACCTAATGAAGGGGGGGCCTGACACTGTCCCCAAAACTGAGGTTCGGAGGGAGTCCGCACTCAAGTGAAGGTGATTTTAAACTACAATAACTTTGGTGCTGAATGCGATTAATATCTTTAATTTGTTAAAGTAAGTTGCCAATAAAGAGATTTAGTGTTCGATACTAAAATAACCGTGACGGCTCTTTTTCTTGAGCAAATGCAAGAAACATTTGCTCAGGAAAAAAAAAAAGTTGATGACAACAGGTGCAACCAGGCGCAACTGCAATGTGGAAGAACGTCTGAAAACTGAAGGAATAAAAGGGAGGGAGAGGTCTCTGAGAGAGAGAAGTTCAACTTCATGAACAAACACGCCGCTGACGGTGTAATTAACAGGTGAAGCAGCTTCAGAAATATCGGCGCTGCTGGTTATAACTGTGAAAAAACAATTATCCTCCAGTGAAGTGAATTCAAACTCTGCAGTTCGTCTCCTCCTCTGCATATTTGAACCCACACAGATTTATGTTTTTCAAGTACAATAATCTTATATAATTATGTATCTGAAAAAAAGAAAAGAAAAGAAAAAGAAACAGTCTTCATTTTTTAAACTAATGCAACATACAGTTTGGAGATTTGACATATAGAAAAACACACAAGGTCAGTTATTATTAAATGCCCATCAAAAGATTTAAATTATTGATGAAGGTATCTGAGCTGTGGCAGCAGGGTGAAACATAAGCAGGATGTTGAAGAGCTGCGTCTCTTTCCAGAAGGAAAAACAAGTGAACTTAAGTGACCTGCGCAGGATTCTGCTCCAACAGGTTTTATTCGTTCTCTATAGAAGCCATCTGTATTTTACATATATAAAATAAAATAAATAAAATAAAAAAATTCAGTTGCCTTTTCAGGGCTTCTGTAGTTCCCAGGATAAGAGATGGATCCTTTAATGGTGACAAAATATAAAACTCACTGCTTTTTATTTTCTACTGTTAATGAAAATAAAAATTCTAGAGTGATGTTTCGAAAATTCACACAACATTATTTACTGATGGATCTATTGTTGTCACCGTGTCCACAGACTATAATAATCAACACGCAGCCGCTTTCTAAAGTCAGAGACTGCAGATGAAAAATGCTTCATCTGTGATGTTGTGTGATGAACAGAAAAGACCTGACAGCTCACTAATCACATAGAACAGCACTACTGATGTTTCTGCAGAAGTCCGGGTCAGTCAGCGAGATACCAGGCGGGCGCAGGCGGGGGAAAATACGAGTTCACCCGTGCCACCGCGGTTCACGCCGTGCACCAGCATGAAAACAGAGCTCTAAATAACACTGAACCTTTCAACTTTGGAGGTTCCAGGAAACAACTTTTCACAGTCACACGACGGCGGTGGATGGATGGGTGAACAAACGAAGCCACTGGTCAGACCCGATCAACTCAGGCTGAAGCAGGAAAAAATGACTAATGAATTCACCTTTATTCCTTCTTTTAAAACAAAGCTTCTCTTTAAAGATGAAATATTAAGAGCAGATGTAATAAACAGGAAAAAAAAACACCACTGATTTCCACCATTAGTCAAAAAGAAAGCAAAGATATTAAAGTGTAATCTTGATAAAACACCAAGATTACAAGAATTTCTTTGCTCAGCGAGGTTCAGACACATATTCTTCAAATGTCACGGATTTCACAGAACAACCATTTCACACATTTCTATAAATACACTGTGTAGACGACGTCCTGGTTCACCTGGAGGAACCCAGATTGAGCCACATCAAACCTCAATTTTTAAATTTCCCAGCATCAGCCTTTGTCTTAAGATCTGATTTGCATGCCATAACAGCCACTAAGGGAATCAAATCTGGATTTGACAAGAAGAAAAGCTCTGTTTATCCTCGGGATGAGATTATAAAGACATCATCATTTGGCAGGCAAATCTGGGAGGAGATTAATTAAAACAAAAAGACTGTTTTGGCAAATCCTCCTCCAACTGGCAGCGTTTGCACTTTGAAAAGTTCTCTTGGGCCCAGTCTGCCTGACAAGTTTAATCAGCCAGAAACTAATATATACAACATATATACACACAGGAAACTTTTAAATAAATAGAGTATAAAAGCTCTGCTTTTTATTGTGTGCGACACAACTCTCATGGCGGTGATTCTGGCGTAACAGGAGAGGAAACAAGTAAACAAGGATGTCTATTTAGAAAAAGAGCAGCAGCGTGGAGATTTAGAGGTGAGCTTTGCATCTGTTTAAAGTGCAGTTACACCCGGCTTTATTTAAACATTGCGGCTTTGGAGGGAACAGCTCCTGAAGCCCTCCTGCCACCGCAGTCAGTCATTTGACCCGGCAGAGGACTGTGCCGTGTTGTCACTGACAACCTGTCAGCAGAGACAAAAGCTTGTCGCTCAGTCGGGTCAACAGGAACGCCGACAAGCTCCAATTTTAGAGACGGCGCGGAGGTTTAGAGGCCGACACGAAAGCCCGACTGATCTCAGGTGGAGATGGAGAGGCGTCAGTCTGCATCTGTGAGTGCGAGCACGCAGGGTTGAGTTTATGAGCGTGTGCATGGTTAACACCTTGATACTGCTCCAAGGCCTGTCAACACTTCCATCACTTTAGATTCTCGCTTTCTACAAATCACTTTTACAATTTCAATTTACACCGGCCTGACATTTGACATGTGTTCACAAAGCATATAGAAGAAAATACAGTACAATTATAATACAACCTGGGTAAATAAGAAAACAGTGAAGATTAAAGCAGCTATAGTCAACATTTCTTGAGTGAAATGACCACGAGCATCTTACAGCTTGTTGTTTTGGTTTTACTGCTCACAACTTCTCTGTTTTGGTTGACTCTCACCGCTCTCATCAGCTCTAAAAACCACCACTTACTCAGCAGCAAACAGCAAACAAAGCTAACAACTAGCTGGTGAACATAGTGTAGCATTTAGTGGCTAAAGCACCCGACGGGAGCTAGCTATAGCAGAGCTAAAAAGAGGGTAAATACTCGAGCTGTGTAAAAAACAGAGGTTAAATAAAGATGGACGCAGCAGTTTTGAAGCTCAGAGTGAGCTGCTGCACTGTCGCCATCTTGGCAGCGCCTGACTCCGTCTCCTAACTCCCTGGCTAATCTAAAAATGGGCAAAGAGGAGGGATGAGTGTGGAGCTGAGACTTCGGTGCCATAAGGAGGAAATTAGCTCTAGAGACCAAAACAGTTTTTTGTACCAGGCTGTAAACATGTTTATTTCTGCTGTAAAGTTGGACATTTTAACATGGGAGTCTATGGGGACTGACTCACTGTTGGAGCCAGACTCTAGTGGTCATTAGAGGCACTGCAGGTTTTTGGCTTCATTTTTCAGCTGCTTGGTAAAAAAGCTTTAATCTCTGTTGGTTTTTTATTTTGGACAAACACTAAGAGAATGTGTCTTTGTTCTTTTGGCACCTCCCTCTGCTTGTTTCTATATAGAGACCTCTTTCAACAGGCTCTTCAGCGGCCTCGGGGGTTAAGGCACCAACCATAAAACACAAAATCCCCGGCTCACGTTTGACTGGGGACCCCTGTTGCATGTCATTCCCAATCTCTTTGTCCTTTCATTTCCTCATCTCTCCATCGCGGCTGTCCGATAAAGGCAGAGTAATTAAAAAAAAATCTCCACTTCATGGTTCATCGTTGTGTGTTTAGCTAAGCTTCTGCTTTCATTGTGAATGTTTTTAGATGTTCAGCCAGTTCAATGTCACTTATGGTGTTATTCAAACGCTGCGATGGATGGGTGACACTGGTCTGTGGTCGTACCGGCCAGGTGTTGTCACCCTCTTTAACCTCACCACACACACACTAGAGTAACAGAGTTACTGTGCTGGGCCACATGAGAGGCCAACATCTTAGAAGTTGCTCGCTTTAATTTGTTTGTGATCCATGGACTGTACCTTGCACCGTGAGCTCCATCTGTGTGCGCAGCGCTATCAGCGTCAGTGGGAAAACAAACTGGAGGTAGCCACCGCGGTGTTGCTATCACAGTAATGGTAGCACAGTATCTAGCAAGCCATTTTTTAAATTTTTTTTTTTAAAAAGCAGCCAGGGAGGCAGCCTTATCTAGCAAAGAACAATGTAGTTTTCAAAAGCTGCTTTCTGCCAAATGTTTATCTCATAGAACAAATGGGACAAAACATTGCATTAAGCATTCTGCTGCCTTGGTTTGTTTGCTCGACACACTAGTGTAACCATGACGCAATCACACAGCTGTAAGGGCCTCTCGTCAAATGTTATAGCTCATCTGAAGTTGCATCAAAGTCACTTTTAAAACTCTGCTTTTAAAAAAACACAACTCCCAAAGGAAATAAAAAAAGAAAAGCTAGAGAATATACTCACAGAGAGCGGCGTGCGGAGGTGAGGCCATGCTCTGATCTGCCGTCTCGTCAGCCTGCGTGAGACTGCTACTGGACATCGCTCTTTTGGATGGGGAGGTGTGGACGCTTGTCACTTCCTGGTAAGAGAGACAGAGAGACAGAGAGAGAGAGAGCTATCAGAGGAAACACCTGTGCTTTGCAACAAGGGAGATGGAGAGGTGACAGTGCAGGTCATCAGTGGACAAACACAGAAAAACACACGCATACCTTCAGTATGAAAAATGACACAGTGAAGCGTCTGGTGACATTTAAAGCTGCAGATTCCTGTGAAACTTAGTTGCCGGTCTGCACACACAACACATCTACACACACACACACACACACACACACACACGTGAGTGCGACCTTGAACACAGTGAGAGCAGGAGACACTGAGTGGAAAGTTAGTGCAAACAGCACTTGGTTGAATTTTAATAGCGCCACTCTATCTGTGACTAAAGGTGTTTTCACAGGCTTCTGTTGGAGAAAGGTACAACATTGGTAAATGGCATGTCCTTGGCGCACACAGGTTTGTTTTTCCCCTGGAAGCATTTTGTCAAAACTTAGAAGTCAGCCTGTGCAACACACCTATTCAGTTGCAAATCATCCCTGCAGGGAACAGACACACCTGTGTGTCTGTGTGTGTGTGTGTGTGTGTGTGTGTGTGTGTGTGTGTGTGTGTGTGTGTGTGTGTGTGTGTGTGTGTGTGTGTGTGTGTGTGTGTGTAGGCGTGTGTGTCTTTGCAAATGTGCGGGTGTGTTTTTTCATTTGCAAATCAAATGTATTCCCCATAGCAATTTTTTTTGACAGCTTCTTCCCGAGCGTCTGCGCGGAGTGACAACAAACATGCAACAACGGCAAACCACGTGGCGCACGCGCACACACACACACACACGCACACACACACACACACACACACATGCATAAATCTGTGTCTGTAGTGCTTGGTCGTCTTCTCTCTGCTAAAGGTGTCAACCATTATTTCAGAAATGCACCAAAGGACTAAACATTGTCCTCAAAAAAATCCCATTAAGCAAATCCCCAAAGTGCAACCATGGTCATTTGCATACTTTCCTACAGTACACACACACACACACACACACACACACACCTCGGTAGAACAGGGATGTAAACATAATCTCTCCCTCTCTGTCACTGTTATTTTTGCTCTCTTGCTGAAGTAGCACTCACATCGAATGAAGCTCAAATAAGTGAGTCCACACAGGCCGCTGCGAACCACAGCTCCCCAGTTCTCTGCTGATATTAAACAGTATTTTGTCCACAACAGGTTGTTACTTTGCTCCAGGGATGATTAAGTGCATGAGCAGCAGCAGCAGTGTGTGAAAAATGTGTGTGTGTGTGAGTGAGTTTGCGTTACAGAAGTGAATGTCACTGACTGAAAGCCATTAAAGGGCCTGAAACATTTATCTCTCTCTGGTTTTCTGGTGAGCTTGTTTACACTTCACTTGTGTGGTGAATTATGAACACATGTGGCGTGTGGGTGTGATCATACTGTGAAAGTCTTTGTCCGCACTCCGGTCGATATTTTTCAGTTGCAGATGAAACAGCATGGAATCTCATTGACGGACTGGCTGTGTGCACACTACAGGAAGTACAGTAAAACAAAAGGAGAGATACCTACGGTGGCCCTGAGAGCTCAACACACTGCAGCTTAAGAAAACGCATGCAAATACACAAATGTACCGCAAGTAGCACAGACAACAACGAGTGATGAACCTGGCTGGGACACACTTGTTCAATGCTGGTAAAAGCCACTAATTTTTTAAATGTTGATTCTGAGGTGTGCAGAGGGGAAAACATATGTAACTCTCACAGCTGCCTACATGAAGCTTTTCACTCCGCCTTATAGTGTGTATCCATTTGGAGAAGATAAACACACTTTTGTCCTCAGACATGATTGGACAACAAGACTTATGAACTGGTTCATTTGCAGCATTCCTCAGCCTTGAAGGAAGCATATACAATAAAGAAGAACAGGACCCGGGATTGAACCCTGGGGCACGCCACAAAAATATTTACTCGACAATTCGAGTAGTCTTACTAGAAATCCAAAGCCGACCTGAGATGATCCTCTCTTACTGTATAAAATGCAGTATTGAGTACCAAAACAGATGTTTTTCTAGCATTCATGTATGTTCAAATATCATTTATTCCTTAGAGCAGATGCATCTCAGGGCTGTTTGGCACAGATACAAGATGAAGCCAGCAGAATTTGTAAGTAAATAGGTTTCCTAAAAATACATCAAGTTGGACTCAAGTTGGAAATTGGCCTGAAGATATTCATGTTTCTGCTAAAACTACCTTTTTTTTTTTTTCCCTAACAGAGGCAATTTTTCAAAAGCAAAAGAAAAACAGCCAGTCTGCAAGGACACATTGATGTGCTGGAAAAAAAAACTTTACAAAGCCGGTCAAGGGCACAGAGGAAGCTGATTTTAAGACAATAGCATCAACTACAACACATTAAAACTGACTCATTTAGAAATGATTGATGGGTATTAAGAAATATACAATATATTATAGAGAAGCAGCATTGAGACATTTAGAAAAGTATGTGTTTTTTTATTCATCGCTTATTTGGGAAACTATTAAATACTGGTGATTGATACCGTCCTGAAAAAGACCAATTTTCAGTTCAGCAGATATTCTGTGACATAACAGTACATAACAGTACTGTTGTTATCCACTTCACGAGCTACAATAACCGGATGAACAGCAGCCGTGGCAACAGCACAGCGTCTCGTGCAACCATCACCGAGCGCTATCTAGCTTTGAGTCCCTGCCATATGTTCTGTTTGGCGCAGGCTGCCACAGAGGAAGGAGGGAGGAAGAGGGAATAGGAGCGGCGGTGGTGGTGGTGGTGGTGGAGGAGGTGGAGGAGGTGGAGGAGGAGGAGGAGGGTGTCTCTGTGCATCTCCAATAGACTGACAGAGTTAATAAGGGACAGCGCTTGGTGAAATCTGTCTAAATGTACGAGCCTGTCGCGAGAGATAATCCCTGTGAGAGCGAGAGCGAGAGAGAGAGCGAGAGCGAGAGCGAGAGCGAGAGAGAGAGAGAGAAATCACTGGATCCGTGCATAAGATGCTCCGCTAATGAAATCAATTCAGGCCATCTGGGAGCATTTGGTGTGTGACAGCTGCCTACGAAGAGGCCAGTCGGACCCGTGGTGGTGAAACCATGGTAACAGTAACACACGCACCGTTAGCCCTGGGGAGGCGACACCCTCCACCCTCCACCCTCCCACCTTCACATTGGCGCCTATTAGAGGGGGGACATCACCAGAGCTTAGACTGATCCAGGAAACTATGAGCTCGCTGTCACGCGTGCAGGGACTTTACCGTTTTACGCTGATCGCCTCATGTCAGCCGTGGACATTTTTTCGTCCTCTAACAAGCCGGCGCTTCCACTTGTAGGACTTTAATGACACGCCGTAGCGCACGGAGGGGTCTCTGCGGAGGGCTGTCCGCCTCTCCCTCCTCAAACGTTCTCCATCTGTCCTCCTCCTATGTCATCCTCTGTTTAAAAAGTGTCAGTCTTAATAAGTCAATTAGTCAAAAACTGAGCCCCGAGGTTTTATTTTTCTCCACCCACAGAAAGTGAATGAGCCAGCTGGGAGAGAGAGAGAGTCGGTCGTAACTGTTCACTTAGATGGAGTGATACTGTCTTGACCTGAGTAAAGTGAGTTTCCCTTCAGTCTTCACACAGGCAGAGAGTCGGCACGTATGTGTGTTGATCATATTTTGATGGCGATAATCCAGCTGTAGTGTTTGAATCTGGTTATTCACTCAAGGTTATGACCGCGTGGCGGAGTTTGAAAAATAGATTACAGTCAATACACTCGGGGCAAATGACTGTGGTTATGATGAGTCTGAATACAAGTCATCACAGAGCTGCTGGCCGTCTCTCCTGCACCTGAAAAGCTCAAATAGCTCGGAAATTACCCAAAGTGCTTTTAGTGGAGTTGGTGGAGCTACAGTAGCGGCTGAAATCGATAAGGTCCGTGGGTTCGATATTAGATGTGACATTTTGGAGGAGAGAGGTCGTCCACCTCCTTAAACAGATCTTATTTTGGGGAATGCTCTCTGTTCCTTTTCGCCTCTCCGTCTTTCTTTCTCCCACCCTCCTTTCCCTGTCCTTCCCTTTTATTTATTACGACCCATAGTTAGGTTTTGTTGCTAGGCAGCATCTGGTGGTGCGAAGTGCTGTGACGTAGTATAAAGAAGTATAAAGATAGACAAAGTCCGCGTCGACAAAACACTGGAATATGTTCACCACATTATTGTAACTATTATCAATTAACGCTTCTAGTCAGCGATTACCTTAAAACTGATCACCTGTGGTCAATACTAGTAGTATCGCGCCATCCCTAAATGTAACCATGACAACAAAGATCAGCTCATGTTGAGGAAGTATTTCTTGAAACTAAAGTCACAATCTTTTCCTAAACCTAACCACGCCACCGCCGCTGTTACAGTAACCGCGGCGACAAAAGCAGGTACGGCAATCTCGGTACAGACGGCCTGTTTCATATTGTAACCGTGACAACCAAGGTCCAGTACGCCTGCCCCGCCGTAGTGGCGCTGTTGCAGGTGAAAAGGACCTGTGTGGTTGTGCAGGTTTGTGCAACGAGACTCTGCTGACGTTTGAACCTCTTCACACCGAGTTCCTCACAAATCCGCTCGTTCATGTACCGCTGTTCATTTACCGCCTATTTGCCATTCATGTATCTGGAGGAGCACTGCAGCTCTGGCTGGTGGACCCGCCAAAACAGGAAGTCACTCACACATGAGTCACCGCCTGAGGACTTCATTTTAAATTAATAGGATTCCTTTGTCTGCGATCGGAGCGCGCACAAGTGAAGCTGCACGTTTTGGACAACGGCACAGTTCAGCCACATGCACCCTCCCTCCGACAGCTCTTGGAGTGAGAGCTTCTGGCTGTGAAAGCCGCCTTATGTGTTGGCTGGCATAGCATACAAGTGCCTGCTCTCAAACATGACTCATGAGGCTCGACAACAGTAAACAAATCACTGGGTCTGACTGAGGCAACCGGTTGCTTTGGACTCGTTTCTCTAAAAACA